TGCGCAAAAACAATAGACAGCCCTATGCTGTCAGTGAATTGGCAGGTATGGATTTAGGTCTTTTATCATTATCAGTTGATACTTTAAGAGCTGCTTAAACAGTAGTGATGAAATTCCACTCCATTGGTCCGTGTTTCTGAATCAGATGATTTTCCTGGATGTTCTGATGCTGTTTGCTGCTATGCATAATAGTCACAGTGGTATGGTTGGGTAGCTAAAACTTTTATTTCTTTCCCAATTTCAGGTCATCAAACCAGTGCCGAGTCCTGGGGTACTGGCAGAGCTGTGGCTCGAATTCCCAGAGTCCGAGGTGGTGGAACTCACCGTTCTGGCCAGGGTGCTTTTGGAAATGTATCCTTTGTGGTCACTGACTAGACTGGTCAGCCATCATGGAATTCAGCAGACTAGACCTGGTTTATTCGTGTTAGTTTGAAGATATTTTTGTCCAAAAAACTAATAGCATCCAGATAACTCTAGACAGATTTGGAATCTGGAAGGTTTTTTGTTAAATACTAAAGACAATAAGTGCTAGACATTAGAGAAAGTTTTACTTGCAATGATGTCGTAATTTGCGTCCTACTCTGTTCTCAGCGACAGTTGCCTGCTGTCAGTCAGCTGGTTCAGAAGGGTGACGAAAATTCTTACTGAGCAAGACAATCTCTTCCCCCTAATATTTGAGAAATGTGATTCTTAACTGGGAAAAATAGATGTGTCGTGGGGGCCGCATGTTTGCACCAACCAAAACCTGGCGCCGTTGGCACCGCAGAGTAAACACAACACAGAAACGATATGCCATCTGCTCTGCCCTTGCTGCCTCGGCCTTACCAGCACTGGTCATGTCTAAAGGTTTGTGATATTTTGTATTGTAGGAGTGATAACAAATACCCACTTTTCCCATCCTTCACCTGTACCTCTTCATTATGTTAATAATAACATGTAAACTATTCATCCCAGAGTGCCTGACTAAATTTATTACATACTAATTCTAACAAATCAGTCATTGGTGAGTGCTATGTAACTGGCAAAGTGCTTTAAATACAGTGATTTAGCATATTAGAAACTTACCATTTAAACTTCATGTTGCCTATTCTACTTTTAACTGTCAAAATGATGAGATTCCACTTCATTGGTCCGTGTTTCTGAAACACATGATATTTGTGGAGGTTCTGATTTGGCAATTTGTATACTGTTTTGCTTCTGTGGGTTATATAAAGTGCTGCTCAATTTTTCAAAAGGTAACCAGGTCAGTGTTAATTGGCTTTTTCAGGTCACCGTATTGAGGAAGTTCCTGAACTTCCTTTGGTGGTTGAAGATAAAGTTGAAGGCTACAAGAAAACCAAGGAGGCTGTTTTGCTTCTTAAGAAACTTAAGGCCTGGAATGATATTAAAAAGGTAGGTTTAATGAACACATTTATAGGTTTTGGTAGTCCTCACAAATTTGTCAGAATTTTTTTGAAAAGATTGCTGAAGGACAGTGTTAACTACATCCTGGATGTGGGAACAAGGACTCTGGAACCATATTATAATCAGATACTGCTTAACAAGGACACAATTTGAGAAATGCATTATTAGGTGATTTGTTATGTGATTATCATAGAGCACTTACACAAACCTAGATGGTATGTAGCCTGCTTATTACACAGTTAGGCAATGTAGTGTACCATTGCCTATATGTGGTCTATCATTGATGGAGATGTCGTTACACAATGGGTCACAGTACTTGAGCTTGGATTCTGCCATTTGTAGCTGTGTTTTAGTGTTACAGAAGTCATTTTTATCTCAGTTTTATTTATAAAATGGTGTTTTGTAACAAAATATCTGTTATTGGGATCATCTTAATCAGAATACTAAAGCTTCTCACTTTGTAGGTCTATGCCTCTCAGCGAATGAGGGCTGGCAAGGGCAAAATGAGAAACCGTCGTCGTATCCAGCGCAGGGGACCTTGTATCATCTATAATGAGGACAACGGTATCATCAAAGCCTTCAGAAACATCCCTGGTAATTCTTGTGTTGCCTACGTGTTTTGATTGCCCATACTATGCATGCTTACTCAGCTTTTATTATGATGAGATTCCACTTAATGGTCCGTGTTTCTGAAGCACATGATTTTGTGGAATGTCTGATTCTTGGCTGAATGAGTGAGTGTACAGTTAATGGTTGAAACTTCATAGTTGATGATAGTTCTAAGGTATCTTATCTAGCACATAAGCCATAAGGATGATTTATGTTTCTTTTTAAATATATGCTCCCTAATTCTCCTTTCCCTTTAAAAGGAATTACTCTGCTTAATGTAAGCAAACTGAACATTTTGAAACTTGCACCTGGAGGGCATGTGGGCCGTTTCTGCATTTGGACTGAAAGTGCTTTCCGCAAGTTAGATGAGCTGTATGGCACTTGGCGTAGAGCTGCCTCCCTCAAGAGTAACTACAAGTGAGTGTTCTTACGTTCATAAGCTGAACATAAATTTTTATATTATGGATATTTACATTCAGAATTGGTTTTCTTGTTTTCTAAATAATGGATTGCTTTGTTGCTATTTCCCCTTATATACAGATGTAATATACTGAAATGGTAAGATACTCTGAGAAGTGGTAGTGTAGTTGGAAATTTCAATTGAATTCTGGAGAGCTTTTAAATGGTTAAAACTTTATCTTCTGTTGAGGTTCATGTTAATCACATGAGAAATAAGATTGGGCATCTATTTTCAACATCTTGGTTTTTCTTTCAGCCTTCCCATGCACAAGATGCTCAATACAGACCTTAGCAGAATCTTGAAAAGCCCAGAGATCCAAAGAGCCCTCCGAGCACCACGGTAAAGTTGTGATATTTATAGTAATTCTTGCCCCAACCTCAATATACTTGGTTATTTTTAATGTAAATAAAATGTTAATATAGTGTCTACCTTTTTATAGCAAGAAGATTCACCGCAGAGTCCTGAAGAAGAATCCACTGAAAAACCTGAGAATCATGTTGAAGCTAAACCCATATGCAAAGACTATGCGCCGGAACACCATTCTTCGTCAGGCCAAGAACGTAAGCGATGATTTGGCTTTTGCATAGAGGATACCTTTTTAGAGAATTTGATTCTTAGATTTTTCTTCTTAATTTGTTGCAGCACAAGCTTCGGGTGGATAAAGCAGCAGCAGCACTAGAAGCCAAATCAGATGAGAAGGGTGTTCCAGGCAAGAAGCCTGTGGTAGGGAAGAAAGGAAAGAAGGCTGCTGGCCTTAAGAAGCAGAAGAAGCCGTTGGTAGGGAAAAAGGCTGCAGCTACCAAGAAACCAGCAGCTGAGAAGAAGCCGGCAGAAAAGAAACCCACCACAGAAGAAAAGAAGCCTGTGGCATAAACTTACATTTGTTTATTCCATAACGGTCAAATCACTTTGGACAGCTAATTTTGAATAAAAATGATCAAAGGCAATGAGAAACATAACTTGTTGCATTTGTTTTGTGAATCTTGGTTACAATTTTTTTAAAATTGACATTTTGTTCTCCGTAATTTCAGCCTTTCATTTGTTAGTCTGGTCTACAACGGAGCATTGGGTTTATACAAAATCTATGCGGTTGAATGAAAAGAGGGATGTTCCATAAATCCAGATGTAAAATCCATTTTGTAAGTAATGTCTTGAGAAAGCGATAGTTGAAAGACTTGTCTTAAATATATAGAAGCTGTTAAGATTTAGCCATCCCTCCACCACCGGTAAAAAAAAAAAAAACTTAGGAAAATTACATAAAGTTACGACATTTTCAGTAACCACAAGAGGGCAGAATCAGAATATGTTTTGAGGTGCAGCGGTAAGAAGCATGTTCTCAGAAGTGTTCTTGTTGCAACCCACTATGATAGAACACTGTTGGAGGGTGTTTGCCACCCTCTTATATTTTGGCTCTTGGGAAAGTGCCAGAAGTATTTTTCAGAACCACTTGTGTATTCAGTTTTACTAAGGAATGAATACATTGATTTGATAAGCATGGTGCAGAAAAATGTACACACAAGCATGTTATTTTTCTAAACCTTTTAGTTTGTCACTGAATGTCTTACCACTCTAGAATTGACTCATGTCTGGATCTTGGTTTTTCTCCCATTGGAATCAAGATCCATAGCAAGGTTGATGTATGATACTCCAATTTGCATATTCAAGAGATAGTTTCCTAGTATTTAAAGACACCACCCCCAATATTGTTAGCTGCTTTATGTTCATGGTCTAATTTGCACCGACATACTGGGAAACATTTAAAATGGAATCTTGGTCTACAAAAGCTGTAGGGCACTTGCACCTGTGCTAAATGCTGGTAATGTTAGTCCCTGCTTTAAAAGATGCATTGTAGGATTTGTGCATTTTCATTAACCACTTCATTGTAACATCACATTGGAAGTGGGAGTACTGTCCCACCTTAAGCATTTGCAACTGGACACGAGCTTTGTTAATCCTTACCCTACGATGTTTATCAATTTGAGAAACATGGATGGGTTGCCTCCCATAAGCACACACCCCTCCCCCCCCCCCCCCCAACGGGGGGATCAAACAGCAACCTGGGTATGTCCTGACCTGAATGGAACCCACGACCTTTTGGTGTATTGGTAAATGCTTCAACCAACAGAACCAAGTAAAGGGCCCTACTTAAGCTTTTATTTAGTTAATCCTCACGGAGGATGTTTTTGCATTGATTTTTAGGGAGAGTGGAAGAGGGAAAGACAACATGTGAGATCAGGGAGGAGCCTGCAACCAAGGTACAAGCCCTTGATCGGAGTCAAACTGGGGACTCTGGTCTGCAGGCCGACACTATCCACTGAGCCAAACCGGCTAGGGCGATACTTCAGCATTTTTACCTTCAGATTCTCTATGGCTCCAAAGGCCTGTGCTTTAGGAATCCTGCTCATTACTCCAGCCTAGTTTTTATAACCTTAAAACCCCCACTTTAGGCTGGGTGGAGCGGGCAGGAAGCGCTTGGGCGCACGTGCAGCCGGCCTGCTGTTCCGTTTCCGGTAACGCGGGCTCGGTGACGTCATCACAGAGCGCCCAGCCGCCAGGGCGTGTGGAGACGCGATGCTGAGCCGGCTCCAGGAGCTGCGCAAGGAGGAGGAGACGCTGCTCCGGTTGAAGGCGGCACTGCACGACCAGCTGAACCGGCTCAAGGTGACCCCGCGGCCCCCACCGCCCCCCCACCCCAGCCCGGCTCTGCGCGAGCCCCGGGTGTCTGCAGCGGCCCCCTGCGGCTGGTGATCGATCCCTCCCTCACCAGGCGGTTGGGGCGCTGATCTGGTGGCTTAGCAGCCCCTGGCAGGCTTGTTTTTAAGATGAAGGCCCACCTCAGAATCTTGACCCTGAAGGTCTAGGTTGAGGCCCAGCAGTCTGCACATTTGGCGAGTTCATTCCCACACCCGACACTCCAGAAGTGCAGGGAGCTTCGGAAGTGCCACCTCCCGAAGGCTCGCGTTGATGTTCCCCGCCCACCGGCCTCTTTCCCGGAGCTCGCAAGGCATTTACTAGCCGCTATTTCCTCGCTCGTATTGAAACAGCTCTAGTATTGCAAAGCTAGAAGAGACTCGCACATTCTCCCATTGTGCGAAAAAGGACAACGAGGCCCGAGAGAAAAGACTTGTCGCAGAGTTCCCAGTAGCTTTTCTTCCTGGAGTGGTTATTGAATACACGGCTTTCACTGGGAGGAGAGATTTAGGCCCACCAGGACCTCTTCCCAGATCTTTGCGTAATTCAGCCTCAGTGCAATGATCCTGATAACTCCTACTGCACCCTTCTTCAGGATTTTTTAAATATATTTCATTGATTTTTACAGAGAGGAAGGGAGAGGGATAGAGAGTTAGAAACATCGATGAGAAACATCGATCAGCTGCCTCCTGCACATCCCCTATTGGGGATGTGCCCTTGACCGGAATCGATGCCCTTGACCGGAAACGAACCTGGGACCCTTCAGTTCGCTGGCCGAGGCTCTGTCCCAGCCGTGGGCAAACTACGTCCCGCGGGCCGGATCCGGCCCATTTGAAATGAATAAAATTTAAAAAAAAAAAAAGACCGTACCCTTTTATGTAATGATGTTTACTTTGAATTTATATTAGTTCACACAAACACTCCATCCATGCTTTTGTTCCGGCCCTCCGGTCCAGTTTAAGAACCCATTGTGGCCCTCGAGTCAAAAAGTTTGCCCACCCCTGCTCTATCCACTGAGCCAAACCAGTTAGGGTTTCTTCAGGATTTTTAAGTCCAAATGAAAGCCCTTTGTAAACTGAAAAGCTTTGTACACACTGTGACATATATCAAAATAATACGCACTTTTCCTCAGGACAGTTGTGATAGCTTAGTTATTTACATTCTCAAAGCACCACAGGACCTGCAAAGGCACCTAAACTGTGTGTGTGTGTGTGTGTGTGTGTGTGTGTGTGTTGATAACGACCTCCAAAGCCTAAATTTCTTTATTCTCCTGGAAACACTTCCATTTTTCCTGCCTTTAGTGTCTCAGTGTCTCAGCACTAGGTAGAGAAGCTCAAGCCTAAGGAATCTGCCCTCAGTGGCATCAGAAGATGACACTTGGGTTTTTAAAGGGCTCTTTTTTTCCCCCTGAATCACTTGATCTGGGCTAGTGGATCATTGCTCAGTCAGAACACCTGTGCACCCCAGAGGACGGGGCTGGAGGCTTGCTCTGGTCATTTTCTTAAAAGGCAGGGAAAGCTTAAGACCCCCCACCCTTCTCCTGGGAGCTGCAGGGAGATTCCACTGTTTTCACTTATGATGCCAACTTTTTACAGCATGGATAGTAAATTTTCCCACACCAGTGAAATAGTAAGGAAAATGTTCTTAATTCTTCTTTTCTAGGTTGAAGAATTGGCCCTCCAATCAATGATTAGTTCTAGAAGAGAGGATGAAATGCCGTCTTCTCCAGCTGCACAGGAACAGTCACATGATGTAAGCTTAATCAAGTTTGGGCCTAGGGAGCAAATGCAAAGTCCATTCTGCTGTCGGTGTAAATTACATTATCAAGACAAAAGGACTCTGGGAAGTACTGATAAGAATATTCTAGTTTGATAAACTGGCTATTCGATATTGCTGTTTTAGTCAGGGAACAGCCTTGCTGGTTACACCTTGATTGATTTAATATTGACTTATTAATTAGGTACTTATATTGCCTCCACATCCTAGTCATCCATCCTCGAGTCTAGTTACTCTAATGAACCCAGGGAGAGTGGAGATCTTTGCAGGATATGTCAAACCTCTTGCTGCTCCACGAATAAGTTTGGGTTCAAAAATAGTGTAGCTTCAACTACAAAGCATAGTGCTAAAAAGTGAGTTCTAGTCCTCATTGTATCCTCCTCTTACCAAATGCCCACTTTAAATCAGTAAAATCATCTTTCTAAATATACCATAGTTTAGCAGCTCTCTCAGTTGTGTGTGAAGCCACTTAAAACCATTTGAAAGCAGCATAATTCTTACGTAAGAAACACTGTTGTAAATCAGGTAACATTCTGTCAAATCTAGGGCATTTATCCTCCCATTTTGGCAATGCGGGTTGGGGTGGAGGGCGGACAGGGTAGAATTTGGAGAAACAAGAAAGTGGCCATACCTCTTAGTGGTAAATACTGGGAATGAATACACAATTGATATTTGGTTTTAAACCATTTTTAAGAATTTGCTGTTTTGAGACTAGTGTTCTCCTAATTCATAATGAATGTCCTTGGCTAAAGCAGGTGGTGGTGCATGTAGACAATGAAGCATCCATCAACCAAACTGCACTGGAGTTGAGCACAAGGAGCCATGCACCAGAAGAGGAGGAGGAGGAGGAAGAAGAAGAATCAGATTCGTGAAGTGGGGAAAGAGCCAGGGTTAGTTACACAAATTAAATTTCTAAGTCGCAGAAACTTTCTCTCTAAAGTATTCTTGCCCTGGGCCCTATGGCCTGCTTTAAAAGGAAGCAAGACCTTTAGGAGGATGTGTATAATAATTCAAGTTTCAGAATGCTTTAACAAAAATTAGTGACGTATAGAAAAGCAAAGATGCAGTGTCTTAGCATTGAGCAATATGGGTGGTGCCGTGTCTGTATTCTGGTCAGATCCAGTAGTTGTGTTCAAAACAGAAGATTTCCTCTGAAATGCTATTGAGCAAGTCTGGCATTTGCCAAAAGGGCAGAGTGTAAGTACAAGGCAGCCTTTTCAATCAACAATGCCTCTTTTAAGCAAACCAATTAAAGGCTGTTTGCATACCACTGAACGCTTGTAAACATAGCCAAAGTCTAGGAGAGAAAGATGACGAGGAGGACAGAACACCACTTGAGAGCACCAGATGTTGCCACCTCTCAGTGACATCGCAACATACTGCCACTGTGGACTGTTTTGTGTGGCTGTAATCACTTCTAGGTTGAGACATCACAATGATAAAATGTGCATAGAAATAAATTGTAGATGAGTGGCCGTCATGCAGCTAGCTGGTTTCCAGATAGCAACAGGGAAGCGGATCAGTCCCTCTGGGGAAAACAGGCCAGCCAGCAGGATGGTTTAAAACCCATTTCTGAACTTCGGAAGAAATGTGCTGTTAAGAAGGAATCACTATGCTTGGGAGATTGGATTATTATAATAAAGAGATGTTAGTTACAGAAAAAGTGTTTGTTAAAACTTAGTGTTTGAAGTTGAGATTTATTTCTGCATACTGTCCCTTTCCCATTAAATGTACAGTTAAATAGTTACTTAACTTTATAAAAGTTATTTGCCCTGTCCATGCAACAGAAAAGCCAAACAAAACACAAAGAACCTCCTCAAGCAGGACGTCTTACGTAACTGTTCCAGAAGAGAGAACATGGATATGTTTGTTAATCAACATTTCATTAAAGTTATTTTGAGCTACTCTTATAGGAAGTAGCAGTAAGTTTAAATGAACATGCTTCTCAGAAAACACAATGTGAAGATAGTTTTTCAATAAAAAGCCTCAAGGCATACATTTTGGGGGTCTAATTTAAAATATGAGCATGGGTTTCTAAAAGCTAGAAAATCTGATCGCTTGCCCTCTCACATCTTTGCAACTCTCACTTTCCCATCTGTAGAATGAGGGTGTTTGTACCTTCTCTCTCGATTTTCACAGGTTCCTGTGAGATGCTAAAAATATACTGAAAAACCCAACTACTGTTGGTGTTTCAGGAAGAAGTTTGAGGAAGGAATTTGACATGCAGAACTCAACATAGCAAGACTGATGCAGGGAGCATCATTCTTGAGATCTTAGTAATTACTGGAAAAGAATCCTTTACCTCTCAAAATGTAGTACCTTTGGATATGAATAGAGAATTTAAAAACAACCCTCAAAAGATATAGGTTACATCACTCCTTCCGTCTCAGATAGAATTTACCTGCTTTAATGAGACATTCTCAGTAGTGGTTGCGTTTTACCTGTTAGCAAACGACAGTATGAGAAAGGTGTGGGTCTTAAACCTCAGCCTGAATATTTATATGTCAAAAATGTATACGGTAGACTGTTGACTTAGAACAGATATTAGCCTCATAGCAAGAAAAAAATATTGACTAGCTAAGGCAGCAGTGTAGAACCCTGACCAGTTTTTAAAATCCTGGCTGAGTTCCAAGCTCTGATAGATCTGGAGTGGAACTATCTGCTCAGGAGATTTACCCAAATTCTGTTTTTAATTTGAAAACAAAATAGGCTTTTTGTTTTTAAATATACAGGGTGTGGCAAAAGTAGGTTTACAGTTATTTGTATGGAAGAACAATGAACATCTGAATAAACTTACTTACTCACAACTGTAAACCTACTTTTGCCCACCTGTATATTCACTTTGGTTTTCTATATTTTTTGGTTTTCTTTTTTTCTGCCCTGTCAAAAAAGAAAATGAGGTCTGAAGAGGTGCTGACCAGGCAGCCTCACATGGACCTCAAGTTCCAAAAGTCACTTTCCAAAGAAGGAATGGGTACCAGTGGCCAGCTCGGATATAGCTTTTTTGTGACCTCACTGCCACCTCACAGACATAACAAAACTAATGCCAGATATTCCTCCTCTTCAGAAAGGTGTAAAGTGTAACTAGTGAAAGAGGGAAACCATTGCTCAGTGGAGCAAAGCAGCATGGACAGACCATCCCAGTGGAGGCTCCAATGCCAGCCAGGCACTGTTCGCCACCAGCAAGGCGCTCCTGCGAGCACGCTGGCAGCCCTCCCAACCCACCCACCTACTGCTCTTCCCTTACATAAAGAGAGAAGGAGCAGATGGGATCTATTCACAGGTCCACGGGAAAGGTGGCTGGAAGATTCACAGATTAGGGTGTTTGTTGAGAAGAGTTGGACAAAGTCCAAAGATTGGAATTTCAGGAAGCCCCATTAGTTTAGTCCAAAGCAGTGATGTCCTCAGGGTGGCATTTTCACCTTCCAGACCCCCTTTCTGTCTTTATCTTTCCCCTCACAAATAATGCTTGGCTAAATCACCTGATTTCTTATGTATTAGAGACACCACAAAAGTAGAAATATATCTTTCAGCCTTTTAACTTGATAGTATATTTATTAGAGTAAGAGATTAGATTTGTTAAACATTTGCATTAAAATGGTTAAAAGGATTTTCGTACAATTTTTAGGCACTATACACACTTGTTTACAATAGCATCATTACTTGGATTTGGGGAAAGGTAAATCGCATACATTTTAATGCCTTGATACACTTGTAACATTCAAAGTAACTCCATTTTAGAAACACTAATCCAGACTTAAAGAGATACCACTAAGTATCCACATAGTATATTTAAAAATAAATATAGAAATATAACCAGAAGTCTATAAATCATCAGAGTAGACAGACTGGTGAAGCCCCAATTATCATGGCAGTGAAGGGCTCTGACTAGATTTTGATGGAAATTGCTGGATTCTATACCAAAAGCAAAAACATAATAAAATACCATGACATACACGTTCTGATGCTTATTTTCATAGCAGCAAAGCATGCTTCACATGCACTGCCTGTGAAGGCTCTCACAAGGCTCCTTCCTCAAGTAGAAAGAAGGTACGCCCAGCAAGAATGAAGTACCACCAAGTATCAAAAGAATCCCCCAAAATACAGGTGGCCAGCCAATCATGGTGAGGGGAGAGCAGTGCAATATTCAGTAAGAAAGACTACTCACAGTCGCCAAGGTTTCACTGTAATTCAACGTTGCACATGTTTTGAACATTGACACACAAAATAGCCCCAAGCACAAAGCCAATCCACTTAGGGAATAATAACAGAATAAGGATGGTAATATTAAAAATGACACAAAGAGAATTTTGGCACATGCTGAGTTCATCCTTTGTCGTATGTGAAATGCAATCTGAACAGAGGCATGGGAAAGGCCCGAAAGCAACATGACATGCCACTGGGCAGGGACTCGCTCTTTGCTGTTTCCTAAATGCTTAGACACCAGCCGCATGGGTTGGTGTGCTGGGCTGGTTAAGGCCGATGGTGGAGCAGAGCCAACCTGCAAAATCCACTTCCTCAGCATCAGATCTCTTGATAAAAGCATGAACCTGCATGTGAGGAAAGAGAGGAAGTGATGTTAAAAAAAACACCAAGAATTCAAGAGTCCTGGTAGGTCTAGAGCTTATGCCACATCTGGAAGGAGCTCCCGGAGCCTGCCCTTGAGCAACAGTCGGGGCCAGAAAAGCAGGGCCAGCTGAAGAACAAAAGTCCAGCTCTGCCTGGCTCTGCCAATCACACCAGCTGTGAGGCCTGGGGCACTTTGCTCACGTCCCTGAGCCTGCTCTCTGAGCTGTAAAATAGGGATAATAGCTCTGCCTTCAGTGTCTCACTCCATTGTTAGAAGGAACAAAGGAACTGATGGACTTGAAAGTGTATATTACACTTACAGGCTCTACAAGCCATGTAAGCTCATATCTGTGTTAGTACTTCCCAACTCCTCCGGCTCCCACCACCACCAAACAAGAGGAGGCAAGTGCAGATGGAGAGTAGCGTTGGGGAGGGTGCTGAATATAAGGTGAGACAGTCAGTAGAAGAAAAAGACGGTCCCTGGACTCCCGGGTCTGCAGGGCCACCCCAGTTTCTCCTTTAAACTGATGGGAGGGAGGACAGAGGGGACTGATATCTGGTATCCTGCAGCAGGGCCAGCCGCACTGCCGTGATCAAGGCAGAGCAGAGAATGGGCTCAGGAAGTACTGGATGGATGACTGACAGAACAGATGAATAAACAGGTAGTATAAGAATCTGAAATAAATGGACTTACCATGAGTTGCTTCAAATCTGCTCTCTCTGCAGGGTTTTTTATTAAGCTTAAAAGGAGAAAGATAACATGAGAGCTGCTGCCTAGAGCTGCTTCTAACTCCCAATTACTTATGTTTGCCTGCCTGTGCTCCCCACACCCCATAGGCTCTGAGGAGTGCCTGAGCCTTATTGACCTTCCTGTTTGTAGCACAATATCATGCCCACAGAACATTAATAAATGCTTGCTGAACTAAGGTCAAAAGGCAGTATGTCAATCCATGTAGAGCAAGTGCCAAAAGTAGTGGCTATTTTACCGACTGCAATTGTCAGGTGGGGTGGGGAACCTTACAAAAATGGGTACTCTTCCAGATAACAGGGAGCCAACTTACCATTTATTCACAAAATCTTGAAATTCCAGACTGAATACTCCACTGGGCAGTTTTGGAGGAGGCTGCAAATACATGGCAACACATAAGAAATGTCAGGCCTCCTGCCCTGGCCAGTGTGGCTTAGTTGCTTGGAGTGTCATGCCATACACCGAAAGGAGGCGGGTTCAATTCCCAGTCAGGGCATTTACATGGGTTTTGGGTTCAATCCCTGGTAAGAGTGCATATAGGAGACAACCAATCGATGTTTCTCCCTTCCTCTATCTCAAAACGAATAGCATATCCTCAGGTGAGAATAAAACAAATCTTTAATAAAATAAATAAATAAATGTTTGGCTTCCTGCCCCAGGCATCTCTCCTCTCCAACCCTGTCTCTATCCAGTCAAGGAAAGGTCAAGGGTCAGGGCCAATGGCTGGCTGCTGGGTCACTCTGGTGGAACCACTGGTCTCAAACCAGCTAGAACCACTCACTTGTTTAGTTACTGAACAAATCACTGTTCCTCTTGAGTTTCAGTTTACCCTTCTATAAAATGAGGAGGGCCTCATGACCTTTTCCACCTCACACTCTACGACAGTAAATCTTGGAATGTGGCATGGAAATAGCCAGCAATTAATAGCAGCAGCTAGGGGTATATGCAACCACCAGGCATACTCTAGCTCAGGCAGCACCTGTGAAAGTCATTGAAGGCTAACTAGCTAAACAAAATGCATATCCCCCTTCTAAGCCCTGAAGGAGCAGAGAAAGGTTAATAAAACATTAACTGGCAGAGGCTGGGTCTGGAAGAATGTTAGCTGCATGCTCACTCCGGGAATGAAGCTGTTTGCAGTCACCAGAGCAAGAACACTGGCCACAGCTCATTTTCCAAGGGTGCATGGTGGACATCACTCAGGGCTACCAGGACGAGGCCCTGCAGCACCCTGCTCCTATCCACACGGCTCAGAAAACATGACCCACCCATGTGACCTGCACTGGGCTGTGTGCAGCTTCCTTGTGAGATGACACCCAGACCCAACCCAGGATGCCATTGTTCTGTTGGGTTGCCCAAATAAACAGGTGGTTCAAGGCTAAAAGTTAAATAATAACACTACCAAAAAATTCTAGCCTAGCCCTCTTCCCCTGAATAAGAACAGCATGTGAGCCCTGACCGGTTTGGCTCAGTGGATAGAGCGTTGGCCTGCAGACTGAAGGGTCCCAGGTTTGATTCTGGTCAAGGGCATGTACCTTGGTTGTGGGCACATCCCCAGTAGGGAGTGTGCAGGAAGCAGCTGAATCATTGTTTCTCTCTCATCAATGTTCCTAACTCTCTATCCCTCTCTTTCTCCCTTCCTCTCTGTAAAAAAATCAAAATATATTTTAAAAAAAGAACAGCAGGTGAATAAGCCTAATCTGAGGTCTAGGACTAAAACCCAGCTCTTAGACCCACCCTGCAGACGGCTGCTGAGGGAAATATGAAGGGAGCATTCACGGGTGAAACCAGAGCTTGGCCTCCAGAGGCCAGGCCAGTGCTGAGTAGGAGGGGACCAGGCAAGGGAGGGAATGTGCACCAGCAGAGCGTGAGGTGCATGCCCCTGTCGCCACGCAGCCCAGCCTCCTGGTAAGTTTAGGGGGTCTGGGGGTTGGCAGGAGTAGGTGTTAAGGGAGGAACAGCACTAGGTGGGAGGAATCTGAGCCACTTTCATCCTGGAGCCTCAGTTTCCTCACCTATATGAAAAGACAACAAAACCCATTGGACCTACCCAAGCAGTGCTTGGAGAATGATTAGGAAAACATGAAAATATGGAAGAAAGCAGTGCATACTAGGCAACTGGCAGCTCATATATAACCTCAGGCCCTCTCTTCCCTTACCATGGCTCCCAAGCACCACTCTCAGCTTAGGTCCCAGCAGAGGATGGCTTTCCTGACTACCACAAATGCAGTGCACACGGCCTTTTCTGCGTCCTCAAGCAGCCAAGATCAGATCCTGGACTTCTTTTCTATGTCCCATGGTGCTGAGCTTAAAGCTGGGCAGTCAGGAAAGAGAGGTCAGTTAACCTCACTAGACTGAGCCAGAGTCAGTGATTTATTAACTGCTAGGGTGTGCCAGGATCTTCCCTGTCAGGTTTGTCATAGACAAGGGGACCTTTACGAGCCTTTTGGGATCTGGTTTTAGAGAGCAGTAACAAAGTATGAGAAGTTATTCCACTAGTCTCTTGAGGAAGAAGAAAACAGGATGATGCCCTTTCCTATACACCCAGCTGAATGGGGGCCTTCAACTGCCTTCCAAACACACCAGAGCTTATGCACATTGTCCACTACCCATGCTGCTCCTGAGGCCAGGAGTGCTGGCCCTATCCTCAGAAATCCTGTCCTGAGCCCAGCCCAGCTCCTCCAGCCCTGCGCCCCACCCCAAACAACCATGGTGCTAGTCCATAGCTTCCCGTACCCCCCAAACCCACCCAAATTTGATGAATGCTTATCAATCTCTTCCTTCCTTGATCCCTCATTTTCTTTTTTTAACCATTTAAAAATTTTTATTGATTTTTAAAAGGAAAGAGAAACATCGATTTGTTGTTCCACTTATTTATGCACTCACTAGCTGATTCTTGTATGTGCCCTGACTGGGGATCGAACCCATAACCTGGCGTTTCGGGACAAAACTCTAACAAACTGAGCTACCTAGCCAGAGCTATCACTTTTTTTCATTTAAACATACTGGTATACATATTTACAAATAATATGTATTCCTTATATTAAAGTCAGCTGACAGCGACAAGCAAAAAGAAACCTTTAATCATCTATAATTCTATCTGTATTGTATTGCTTTTCCAGACTTTATATGCACATATATGCATATATACTATTTTTAAAATTGATTTTTAGAGGAAAGGAGAGTGATTATAATATACATACTACTTTATAATCTTTTTTGCATGCAACAATTCATAGTGAATATTCTCCATATTTCTACGCTGTAATTTTTTATGTTCATTTCTTAATTTATTTTATTTTATTGTTTTAATCCTCACTCAGGACATGCTTAGAGAGAGGAAGCAGGGAGAGGAAAAGGGACGGAGAGGGAGAGGGAGGGAGGGAAGGAGGGAGGGAGGGGGAGGGGAGGAGGGAAGGAGAGAAACAGCAATGTTAGAAACACTGAAAGAAAAAATAGAAAGAAACATTGATCAGTTGTCTCCCATATGCTCCTGGACTGGGGATAGACCCAGCAATCCAGGTATGTGCCTGACTGGGAATCGAACAGGCAACCTTTTAGTGATGGGACAGGATCAACCAACTGAGCCACTCTGCCCAGGCTGTTCATTGCTTTTAAATGGCACAAGACAAACCTTATCTTGCAATTATAAATGCATTTGTTTGCCTCCCCTACACAATCTAACAGTCTTTAAGACCAGGGACTTTGGATTTTCCCATCTTTGGAGCTTCACCACATCCTGCCATCCCAGTCTTTAGCACATAGAACGTGCACAAGAAATGAAGAAATGAGAATGTAAATGGGTAAGGTGGAGGCTCCTGAATCTGAGAAAAGAGGAGGGACTCAAACTTACCTGAAGATGTTCCCTGGGGAAGGGATTCCTGCAGCCTCTAAACCAGCAACTCGATTCCAAAAGCATGATGCACAAAGCAGAACCCATGATCCTGGGTCCCGAGCACCCATATTGTGGGAACGACTCACGGGTTTCCCAGTCAATTCAACTGTGAGTTTTTCTTAAGAGGACCAAGTAGATTCCATGGTCAAGGAAACTGTGCAGTACTTACCTCGTTGACTATGTAATCCAATAACTCAAAAATTGCCATGGGCGGTCGGCTGTCCATTCCATAAGCTACAGATTTTATAAAAAGAAAGAAGAAAACACTTCTCAGAAACAGACAGGGGAAGTCTTTGCCAGTAAGAGGCTAGGTGTTGGTCATGGATCCCGGGGACCAGAATAGGGTAGTGGACAGTAAAGAGACACAACAGCCACAGATCAGGCCTGAACACACAGGGGACCAGCAAAGGTCACAGAGCCAGGCCAGCCATGGTATGAGTCTGGGCTCTGCCACATCAAAGGTTTTTTACTTTGGGTAAATTAATTGTCACTGAGCCTAGTTTTGAGCTTTGGATAATATTTATGTCTGCCTTCCTTATATTGAGAGACTGAGCCTAGTTTTGAGCTTTGGATAATATTTATGTCTGCCCTTCCTTAAACTTGTTTTTTTTTTCCTTTTATATTCCCGAGACACAGACCAGCCTGAGGGGCTGCAGCCACCAGCCTCTCCAATGCTTCTCCCTTCATACATGCCCTCTATTAGAAGACGGCTGGGCCAGGATCTTCTGAGTACCAGCTTTACTTCACCTATTCAGGTTCAAAGAGGCAGGCAGAGACGGCTGGGCCAGGATCTTCTGAGTACCAGCTTTACTTCACCTATTCAGGTTCAAAGAGGCAGGCAGAGCTGCACAGTGCTCACCACCTCGGAGTCAGAATTGGCCAATCCCAAGTGTATGTGGCCTTTGCAAGTCAAGCGCTCTGTGCCTCAGTTTCCTCATATCTAAAATAGAGATTATAATAGTGCTCACACACAACTGTTATTAAAATTAGACAATGGTAGGTAAATCCATGGAGACAGAAAATAGATTGCTGGGGATGAGGTGGGGGGAGTTGGGAGTGAATGCTAATGGAGATGAGGTTCCTTTTTGCAGTGACGGAAATGTTCTGGAATTACACAGTGGAGATAGCTGCACTACATAGAATATACTAAACACCACTGAATTGAACACTTTAAAATGTGTGTTTTATGTTATATGAATTTTATCTCAGCAAAATAATCTACCTAAAATAAAAAGAAGAAAATGTCATGATTTTTAAAAATTAGATAATGCACATAGGTGCAAAGTGCAGTGCTGGGAACATAGCAGCACTCAATAAATGGTAGGAAGTTGTTGGTTATAACAGTAACTTCCTACACTTACCTGGAGACTTCTGCCCTGCTTCCCCCAGCCCCAGCCTGGCATCCCGAGACAGGGAACCAGCCCTCCAGAAATGACCGACAGTAAGCAACCCCCACACTCCACCTGGAGCACACCATGACACTCACAGCTAAGGGGCCTCCCAGGGGTCCTTGGCCGGGGTGGTGTCTCAGCCGCATCTCCCTCCACCTGGCACCCAAACAGCAGCTCCAGCTCCTTGGCATCTGGAGGAGGGATGGGATACCTCCCAACCGCCATCTCAACCAGAGAGAGCCCCATGCTCCAGATGTCCGACTGCACCGAGTAATGAGTCCCCTGGAGTCTCTCTGGCTGCAGGAGAGACAAACAGTTACAAACACCTGTGAGCCAACCTGGGCCCACGCAGAAGAGGGGTGGAGTCCCTCAACGGGAGCCTCAGGACTTCCTGCCCCCGTGAGACTTGCCTGCACTGCAGGAGCATGGACTTCCCCTGGGTCTGCTGGTACATTTCATTTTCTTTTGCCCTTTCCTCTCCAGAGTTCACATGCCATGTTAATACTTCCACTAATCTACTGAATTTGGCCTTCTGCCTGTCCCCAAATACTGTGCTTACCAAGTCCTAGCCAGCTCTCATGGCTCTGACCCCTCCTCAATTCTGTCTCCCCTGTAACCTGCCCAGAACCGCATCCAGCCCAGCTGTGGTTCCAGCGCTGCCCAGCCTGGCCACCGTCCTGCATGGGTGGGCACTCTGTCCAGAGCCCAGCATGAGAGGCTCACCTTGTTACCTGCGTCTGAAACATGAAGCTTCTGGAACATGGGTCATGAATGAGATGGTGCAGTGAGTGGAAAGAAGTTTGAAGCCCAGCTCTACCAATGACTCACTGCTTTTGGAATGGCAGAAAAGCAAAACGATCTGGGTTCAGAAGACATGGGTTCAAATCCCACTCTGGGACTTCTAAGCTACATGATCCTGAGCCTCCATGCCCACATCTCTAAGATGGGGGCTGGCGATGATGGTAACAACAGTAATAACATAAAATATGCGCCCCACTTACTAGGGTGATCAGGGAGTTCAAAGCAAACGAAAATACATGTTGTATGTTGCAAAATATTGTATGAGTTGTTACTAGTGGGAAGAGGCAAAGAAAAAGAATATAGTGCTATATAAAAGCATTATTTGAAATAGCACATGTATTTCAAAAACTGTATAAAAATCCTTATTCTGACCATCATACTTATTTTTTTAAGATTTTTAAAATTGCTTTTTAGAAGAGAAAGAGAGAGAGGAAAAAACATTGATGTGAGAGTGGAACATCGATTGGCTTCCTCCTGCATGCCCCCTTTCGGAGATCAAGCATGTGCCCTGACTGGGAATTGAACAGGCAACCTTTCAGTGCACTGGATGACACCCAACCAGCTGAGCCACACCAGCCAGAGCCATCATACATTTATTTAGACAACAAATTAACTTCTCCCGTAGGATTTTTCCCTAACTCCAACACTGGACCACTTTGGAATTGACCACATAACCACAAAAACTCAAACCACTAAACAAACCCCTGGATCAATAAGTCCCAGGGCCTGCTAATTAATTTTGAATTTGAGAGTTGGCAGTTGAGTGGCCCTGTTTTTAGACATGTAAGGACTAAGCAATGAGGGGATGGCAGAGAAAGAGTTCTGAAGGGCCATGGGTTTCATGTTTAAGACTGTGGGCCACTGGAGTGGAGAGTGGAGATGGGGTCAGCACTGGTTGAGCGATGTCAGCAATGACTGGAGTTGTGGTGGGGTAGGGGGCAGGCGAGAAGAAATGAAGATGTGAACATGAACTTCCACCAGGGAGGCCAGGGACCGCTTACAAATCCTACCTAAGAAGCAAGTGAGGGAATGCGTGCAAAGGGAGACTGACTAGCAAGAAAGAGATCTAGCTTTCGATCCTGGCTCGGCAAGGTAAAGCAAGCAGGTCACTTAAACTCCCTCAATCTGGATTTCCTCATCTCTAAAATGGGAACAATCACATGGATCAAATGAGATCACTCAGCGATGTAAAAGTGCTTGAAAGATAACTCATAAATCACTCTATGTTCAAAGATGCCCCAGCCTCTGTGCCTGGCCCCCTCCAATGCAGCCCTGCACTCGTGTTCACCTCCCGCTCACTCTAATGCTCCTCTACTCTGCTCCACTCAGCACTCATCCAGTCAAGCTTCCCCCTTTCTGAGTCATCCTAAGGAGCGTGCTAGCCACTTCCCACCCATTCAGTCAACCAAACATTCACCCACTCACCACCCCTCCCCTCAGCACCCACCCTGTGCCAGGCCCCGAGCCAGAGCCTGGGGACAACACAGACACCTACAGTCATATCCCTGCCCCAAGAGCTTGCTGTATGGAGGAGGGAGGAGAACAGCTGGTGCTGCCATGGTCGTGGGCACAGCCTGTCACAGAGCTCTGGTGGCAGTGGGAACCACGGAGTTGGAAACAGGAGGGAAGACCTTCATGACCAGGCCCAGTACCCCAATTATGCTCAAGGCCTATGAAAGGCTAAGACCATCTATCTCCCTGTTAGACTGAAATCTCCTCAGGAAGGGACCATAATGCTTCACCACTCATTTCTCCCCCAAACCCCCCATCACCAGGTTCTGGATCCACAGGAAAAGACACCCACTTAGTTCCTATCCCTCACCAGACCAGAAGCTGGAGAAATGGAACCCACTGCTCATACCGACATGTAGGACCTTGTGCCCACGAAGGAGTTGGCCATGGAGTCGATGAGCTGCCCGCTGACTCCAAAGTCACAGAGCTTGATCTCCCCACGGGAGTTCACTAGGATGTTAGAAGGCTTGACATCTGCAGAGAAAAGAAAATTGAAAAGTAGGCAACTGCCCTGACCGTGTGACTCAGTTGGTTGAGTGTAGTCCTGTGCACCATAAGATCACCGGTTCAATTCCCAGTCAGGGCACACGCTCAGGTTGCAGGTTCAGTCCCCTATCCGGGTGCACATAGGAGGCAACCGATCAATGTTTCTCTCTCACATTAATGTTTCTCTCTCTCTCTCTCTCTCTCTCTCTCTCTCTCTCTCTCTCCCTTCTTCTCTCTCTAAAATCAATAAAAACATATTTTTTTTAAAGTAGAAAAGAAAAAGCAAAGTAGGAAATTGACACAGGTAGGTTGGGGAGAAGAAGAGTCAGCATTCCACAGACAGACCAGCCCTGACCATGAGTCTCAGGACATACCCCTGCCCCCATCAGAGTCAGCCCTCAGACTGCAAACACTTGATACCAAGACCTCCTATTCCCTCCATTCAGGGTTTGAGTAAAGACTGTCAGGAGAGGAAATAGCAAGCTGCTATAGAAGCAGAACAGAAAGCCAGTATATTTCAACCTTTGAGAATCCCAACTTGGCCAGATGACCATTAGAAGGAGTCAGTCACCATGAATAATCAAGATTTCAAAGTCTGTTGCTTCAACCGTCCCTTTTAGCAGAGCATGTGGGTTTTAGGAATATGTGTGGCAGTGGTTAGGAGCTATCATGATTCTTTCACTAAAGTCATTTCCCTAACAGCTTACACAGCGGTGTCTACCTGTTAGTCAAGGAGAGCTGGAGAACTAGAAAGGCCTGGAAAACTGCTCCTCGCTGTGGTCTAGGCAGTGCCCCCTGGACCAATCCCATCCCTCTTCCCTGCACACAGACCCCACTTCCCGCCCTCGCTGCCCTGGTCACCACTGCTAGTGCACTGGCCCTTCCCTTTGTTTTCTTCCACCGTCTCCTCTAATTCAAGCAGCTGACCTGTAAAGTGGGCAGACCAGGGCCAAGTATTATTCTCATTTACAGGTGGGAAAACTGAGGCTGGGACTTTGTAAAGGTCCCCAGGGTAGGACTTTGTGGGCAGACATCAGCAAACATGAGACCCACCCAAGAGCAGGCCACACCCAGGGACAAAGTCATAAACCATGACAGGGAATCTTTGTCAGAAGTAATAGAGACACTATATAGAACATCAGAGAATCAGGGTAAAAACCAAATCCCCATAATTCCAACCTACCAGAACTGCTATTAATATTTTATTTTTCCCTTTAATACTCTCATATGAATGTATTTATTTTTAAACAGATTCTAACAGCTCTATTTAAGTATTTTTCCAAGAATAAATTGGGAAAAAAGATCACCCTTTCATATCCCAGTAAGTCCTTCCCCTACCTCACCCCCGCCTAGCCCATCATCTTCAGCTCAGGTGGGGTCATAACCACAGCACCCCTCTCCACCTACCATCATCAGCTCCAAGAGAGAGGAATGTTAGCCAATGTCTGTCTCACCACTGTAACCCCAGAGTCAGGACAAGACCCTGGCACACACCAGGTGCTCCAAAACACAGTGAATGAAATATTTAAATTCACAATGTGCCAATGCACACACTCCAAGCCATCTGAGCAGTCTTTCTAAGACCCAGCCCTCATAATGTCATAGGAAACAAGACCTTTCCAAACTCCTCTGCAACCCTGTGGCTCCTACATATAGACTTTCAGAACGTAGGCATCAGAAGTGGCCTTAGAGATCACCTGGCTCCTCCCCTTCATGGTGGCAATGAAATGTCTAAGGCCCAAAGGAGTCCAGGGACTTGGCTGAGGTCACACAGCAAAAAACTGAAGTTGGAATCAGAACTCAGACCTTCTGATACCTAGACCTGTCCTCTTCCCACCTACCTTACTGCCACATTACTCAACTGTTCCACTTATTCACATACGTTCACTGAGCACCTACCACATGCCAGGCACCATGCAGGTATCAGGAAGACAATAGCGAGCAAACTGATCATGTCTAGTGTAAAATGAAGTATACATTTTAGTGTACTTGAGGAAACAAACAAAAACAAACTGACAAACCAATGTGTAACATCAGGTAGTCTCAAGTACCACGAAGAAAAGAAAAATAACAAAACCATGAAAAAGCACAGACAGTGGAGGTGGGGTGCTGTTGTGACAGGGCAATGAGGGAAAGTCTCGCTGTGGAGATGATCCTTGAAGACAACCTGGATGAAGTGAGGGACTTGTGCGACCTCCTGGGGAATTACTTCAAGCACAAGGGGAGGTTATAAACGTTAGGAGGTCAGGGACTAACCTTTCTTTTTTCCCAGGCCTAACATTAGGACAAGCCCAGACAAACACTGTCAACCAAGGAGGTCCTCCTCTCCACAGTACTGTCGCCTTTCTCAAACAGATGTGGACGAAAGGGGCCACATGCTAACCTGACAAGCTCAGGGGAGGCCCGCATGACGGTCTTGCAAACTCAGAGACCTAAAGTAACCACAAAAGATGGCCTGAAATTAAACTTTAACTAAAAGCAGTTATGGTGGGTAGTTACAACCCAGGCCGGTATCTTCCCTAACAAGGTCAACCTTTACCTTAATTAAGCCTATCTGTCTTTTTGCATCTATAATAACATACCCTTGAAATTTCTGGGTAACTTGTAACATCCCTTTTTCTGGACCCCTTGGGGCACCACCTAACGTGCCTGGGTGCCAGGATAGATACCACAAATTCCTTCATTGTTATCATGTTAATTGTTCCTGCACCCACCTAAGTATGTGTCTATCATTTTACCTTTTATCCAATCCTAGGGGTTTCCCCTGCTTTGTTTTCTCCCGCCTCTCTAGTCTATCACCAATGGATTTCATGTAATCCACCTACATCCCTTCCTTTGATTGCAATCCTATATAATAAAAGGCTAATATGCAAATCGACTGAATGGCAGAACAACCAGTCGCTATGACACACACTGACCACCAGGGGGCAGATGCTCAATGCAGGAGCTGCCCCCTGGTGGTCAGCATGCTCCCACAGGGAGAGCACCACTCAGCCAGAAGCTGGGCTCATGGCTGGCGAGCGCAGCGGCGGTGGTGGGAGCCTGTCCCACCTCTGGGGCAGCACTAAGGATATCCGACTGCCAGCTTAGGCCCACAGGCCAGGCTGAGGGGACCCTCCTCCACCACCCACTCCCCCACCCCCTGAGTGCACAAATTTCATGCACTGGGCCTCTAGTGTATAAATATAGATGTAACCCGCCATTCTCCAGAGCATTATTTCAATTCGTTGAGGTTCTGCTTCCTGGCTTATGTCGACAGTTTGGCTCAAATAAACTCACAAAAATTCTTTACAGGTTTGAATGTTTTTATGTTAACACAGAGGACGACGACTAACCCCTAGAAGTCGGTGTTCAGTGTGTGGAGAGTGACGCTGAGTAC